GCCCTGCGACACTCCGGGGGCCAGGGGTAAGTCGCCGAGGGCCTGAGCGGCCAGGCCAGCCCCTTACTTGAGGGTAGGGATTCGGAGGAGAGGAAGGGGATGGATGATGTGGGAATTCTTATACGTTCTCCTCTGCGATGGGCGAGCTGAGTTCCTTCCTTCCCAGCCAGACGGTTCTGGTTCGAGACTTGGGGTCTGAGGGCGGTGACCCTTTTAGGTTGGGCTAGGGAATGGGAAAACCCTCCCACCTCGGACGCGCGGCCTGGAGGAGAATGAATAAGGTCGTAGAGGCCCATCTTCTTTTGACTGGGCAGGTGAGGAACACCCAAGGGCTCCCCGGCGAAGATGGGCCAGGACTTTCCTTCCCCAGAGGGCCCTTTGTCTCCCCAGCGTGAGCGTGGGGTGGGTGGGTGATGCTCCTCGCCCCGGATTCTATTTCTGCTTTGTGCCCCGCCCCCACCCCGACAGGGGCTCTTTCCCGTCGGAGCTCGGCCATCACTCCGCCCCGCAAGGCGCGGTAGCCTGTTACAGAGATAAAGTCCTGCCCTCGGCTAGACCCCCACCCGGGTCCCCGGGAAGCTCCTCTCCTAGGCCTGCGCTTCCTGTCACTGTACACCCCTAGAACTTCATTGTGGACTTTCCTAGATATTGAGGACTGGACAGGGGCGGGCTAAGCAAACGCCAAAGCTACTACCCAAAATATCTGTCTCCAAACGTTTCTGCCGCTCCAGTTGAGAGTGTTCCTTCGAGGTTTTTATTTTGCTCCATGAAATCAAAACCCAATCATGTCCATGGTTTAAAAGGGAAGAAAATCATAGCATTACCTTCTCAAAGGAAAAAGGAAAGCCTAGACGGGACAGCTAAAGTTAGTCATCAAGTAGAAACAGAGCCAGTAAAATGACCGCAAGTGTGCTCGATTAGCAGGAAATCCGTGTTCAAGTGCTGTGTTTTCAAGTGCATGCTGTGTGCTGATTACAAGCATGGAAATGTCCATCACCAACTTCTCTTTACTGAATTCTGGTCTGGCTCCTAACTCACCCCCTTACCTGCTTTGACCCAAATTTCATTTTATCTGCAGCTGGAGACACTTGCGAAAGTTAAAAATTGGTTGTTCCATTTACTCTTTTTTTTTGGGGGGGTACCAGGGATCCAACTCGGGACCTTGTGCTTGTGAGGCAGGCAGTGCCACTGAGCCAGATCCCCAGACCTATTCCATTTGCTTTTGAAGGCTGGCTCCTTTTGGTTCACAAGATAAAAGCTGGGACCTTTCTGAAACCTCAGGCCACGTGTGGTCTATCTGGCCAAGCTAATGGCGTCACTCCGCTGGTCTGCTGCTCTGGTCACTGTGGTCACCTTCAGATCTTTACAGGGCTTATTTTCATGGTGTTCCCTCTGACTGAAATAGGCTTCTTGAGTTTTTTGCCTGAATGTCTCCTACAGTCTTCTAGCTTTGGTTTAAATTTCACTCCCTGAAACAGAATTGATTAAATGGATACGATGCGTGGTCTCTGCTCCCATGGAATTTACAAGTTGGTTTTAGAAATGAGAGACTTCATTCGGGGCCTTGGTTGTCAATGAGACTCACCTTAGAAAATGAGACAAATAAACTGTGTTTGTAGAATTAAAACTTCCAGACCCAGAATCCTGTTTATGAAACTTGGATATTAAAAAAAATGATTAGGGTGTCTCAAATACAAAGTATTTCATCTAAATAAGTAATTCTCAATGTAGTACAGTTGAAGTCCTGGGCTTCAATTTTTTTTTCAGTCTTACTGGGGAGCAAGGAAAAGTACCAGAATGAGTGAATGGTGGTTTCTGAGCACTGCCAAGCGGAGAGGGACAGACTACTTCTGTTTTGGGGGAGAGATGTGGCCCGGAAGGACCTGTCATGTTTGGGGCTGAGTGTCCACTGATAGATCTTTAGCCACAGGGTAATGAAGCAGAATGTGCATTTCTGCAACTGAGAAGCTACACACATCTGGCCTCTGCCTCAGGCAGTGACAATGCCAGCATCTGACTGTACACATAAATCTCATTCTGTCCCTGAGAACTGTCATGGAAGGTGACCGCTCAGATGGCTTCCTGCTAGGCGACAGGCCCTCCACCCCCCAGGAGTTTTCACCTCCATAGCATACAATCCATACACATTTCCAAAGAGACAGGACTGATAAATACTGTAACATAGGAATCGGCTACACAGTGGAGAACATGAGATTGCTGTAGTATTGGTGTTTCCAGTTCATTGTGCTGTCTATGCACAGAGTGCTAAATAAACTCAGAAGTAGGATTGGTAACATTAGTGACTCTAAGTCCAGGCATTTATAGCAATGGTAGTTATTTTTTGTTTGTTTGTTTAAGTACTCAGGATAGAACTTGGGACCTTGTACTTGTGAAGCAGGTGGCGGAAACACTGAGTTAAATACCTGACCAAGTGGTAGCTATTTTAAGGGATCGTTTTCCAACTTCACAGCCAGTGAAATTTCCAGGTGCTCATGATTTTATATCAGTTGACTATTCTGTTAAATAAATTATTTTAGTTCTTGTAGTTGCAGAATTTTGCACACAGTAAAATAATATTCATTTTGGCCTGTTTGACTTTATTTCTAAGGATGATCAAAAAAGTTTTTCAAAACACAAAAAAGATAAATGAAATAGCGATAGCACAATGAATGTCTCCAAAATTCTTGTCCTTTATAAAATTACAGACCAAGCCAACTGCCTAGCTAGGTGAATGCAACCAAGACTCAAGTCTGGGTGGTCTGATACAAAAGCCCAGATAGTAAGCACTGTGCTGTGTGCAGTAGGCCTTCTCTGGACTACAGAGAAATGTATGCAGTAGAAATGGTGCCTGCAGGCTCAGGCTGGGAAAGGGTTGGGCACATGCCATCTAGCAGCAGCAGAAAAGCCAACATGTCAGCCTGAAGCACGTCCCAGTACTGGTTGAGTCACCAGGGCTGCTACTGGAGCTGAGTCCAGATTCTGCAGCTGACTTGACCCCCCCCCCGCCACTGCTTCTCTTCTCCAGCCAAGAGCCCCAGGTGCCACTTGGACTGGAGGAAGTGCTACCCACAGGTAGGAGCAGGTGGAGGGCCCTGGGACGACAGCTTCACCAACCTGCCTGGGAAGTAGGCCCTCTGCCCAGCTGGGTCCTTATGTGGCACTTCAGGGACTTTCACACTGACCCTGTACCTGTCAAAGCAGCTATCTGGTAGTACTGTGAGGCCTCCTCAGGGGTGAGCCTGCAAGGCAAATGGCTGACAGAGCCACTTGTTTTCTGCCTGCTGTGGGGCCCCTCACAGTGGGGAGCCGGAGAGTGAAGGCAGGGGCTGCCCATAGAGCCGTCCTCTTGGTAAGCCATAGGAATCAGCCACAATCTCTCTCCTCCAGTCTCTCCCTGACCAGCGTGACACAGGACAGCCGGCAGACCACTCACTGCTGAAGAAAGGGGACAAAGGAGACATGGTAGACAGAGAGCATTGCAGTGTTCACTGTGAAAGGAGAGGCTATGAGGGACACTGCCAGTGAAAAGTCAGGAGATTCTCAGAGAAGGCTTTTTAGCTTTCTCCTCTCTCACGGGGTTCCTGAGGACCTCTAAACTTACCCCCAGGGCAGCATGGTTAAACTAGACCTTTGCTCCTCTCTTCCAAATCAGCTCTTGGTGCAGGCCCACCCCTGTCTCCCTTTCCTCCTTCTATCCTTCTTGATTTTTCTTACCATCTTCAGTCCCACTCTTTTGGTATGAATCTGAACTCTCCACATCCAGGACCTAGTGCTTGCGTTTTTTTCTTCTTGTGTTTATGAAATCCTACTTTTTGCCCCTTAGGAAGACCTTGTAACTTTACCACCAACATGATATCTAACTTACTGCCTATCCTCAGCCCGTTTGGACTTCCTGTCCTCTTTTGTTCTTTCTTACACCCGACATTAGATGCACCAGTCCTCTTAGTGCCCCTGCTTCCACCCACCCATTGGCAAGGCTGCCATATTACTTCACTGACCCCAGGAAAGGCCATATGCCCCTGCTGTGTAAGGACAATCAAGTTTTCTCAATTTTTGTGTTACCTAACCCAACTCCCACCCTCAAGGGCAGATCCCTGTTCCTTTCCCATGGAACTCAACCTGGACATCGGAAACCTCTGTATGGCATTCCAGGAATCAGTATCTATTAGCGATGTGTGCACAGGTACAGCTGCCTGTCCTTCTGGCCTGTGATATTCTGAGTCCCGGTCTTCCTGCACCAGTGCCCATGCTGCTTTCCATGATGAGGTCCTCTTTTCTCTCTACCTGCAAGCTCTGCATGCATTGGATTAGATGTTGAGGTGCATCTGGTTTGATGGCCTCTTCCTAGATTGAGCCTTGTTTCCCCCAGCAGATAGCTATTCCTGGAGTGCAGTGAGTACCACTCATTCCCATGGATGGTTGGCTCCTCCAGGCCGGGAAGGCAGATAAGAATGGAGATCCCATTAGCTCTGTCTCCTGCTGCAGCTTACTGAGTTGGATTGTCTGCTCCATCCACTTACAAGGCCCATGATATGTCCCTTCTAAGGAAGTGATGGGGTAAACTGAGACACTACTGGTACATAACTGCCCTGCAGATGGTAGTCTGAATTGACTGGTGAGAGCACACTTGGATGAATCACAAGCTCAGGGACAAAGCAGTCACCAGGGACCCTGGTCTGCTCTCATTTTGGTTTCTTCTGTGTGCTTTTAGGCCTGTGGGTGTAGCTCTGGGTGTCAGCTGTCTATAAAGTGGGATGGTACATGAGGGTAGGGATGGGACTAGTCCAATAGTCCCTCCCTCACCTCCATGGAAAATCCACTGGGACCACTAAACCGTTTTTGTCAGCAGAGATGGGAAAAAGGCCTTCTGAAGCCCACCGTCCCTCAATCTTGGATACTAAGTGCCTCCTTGTTTTCTTCCACAGGCACCAGGCACTAGCAGCATGGAGCTAAAGAGGGGAAAGACCTTCATTAAATCCAGCTTGCAGATTTCCCATGAGAAGCCCTCAGATTCAGCAGCTGCTGCTCCAGTCAGGGAGGATGCAGGCCCCTGGTCAGTCACGCAGGGAGGGCAGCAGAGGCTCCTTGGTGAAAAGGGCTCCCAGGCCAGTCCTTGTGCCCAAGGGCATGACAGATGCCCCAACCAGGGGAGTCACCCCAACCTCGATGGGGGTTCTGTGGCCCTCTGTGGGGCCACCTTCAAAATGGTTCGGAAGAGCAAGACTCATGACAGTGTTCTAGGAGCCAGCAAGGCAGTCACCACCACAGGGCAGCTGGTGGACAGCCCGAGCTTCCCAGGGCCTCCCAGTGGCCCGCACATGATCGACTACCGCCACTTTGTGCCCCAGGTTCCTTTTGTGCCAGCTGTGGCCAAAAGCATCCCAAGGAAAAGGATTTCACTGAGAAGACCCAAGAAGTGTTTCCGGAACCTATTCCACATCCGCAGAAACAAGACAGAGAACCTGGCCACGCTGGCAGGCAAGGGAAAGAGCCTATCCTCCCCTGGAGGCCCATCAGTTGCTTCAGGGCAACACAGCAAAGCTTTCTTCTCCCTGGGGGAGGGCCTGGGGCTGGACAGCCTGAGCCAGGACCTGTCTGACAGTGAGCTCCTGCCCGACTCTCTGGACTTATGCCGGGTCTTGTGTGAGGACGTGGCCTCCCTCAAGAGCTTTGACTCACTTACAGGCTGCGGGGAGATCTTTGCAGATGAGAGCTCAGTGCCATCCCTAGAGCTGAGTGACAGCCCCGAGAGCCCAACCCGGGTGCCTCAGGCCCTGGAGAGCAAGGCTTCTCGGGGCCCCTCTCAGGGTAGTGTGGAGCAGCTGGCATCGCCCACCCAGAATGAAGTTTCTGACTTCACTAAGTTCTGGGACAGTATGAATCACTCAGTGCGGCAGCAGCAGTGTGCCCTGCTGGGACCATGGCTGGCGGGCCCTCAGGGGATGGACACAGCCTTGCCCAGACCTGATGCAGCAGGGCTGGCCGAACTGCCCCTGTTTCCCTATAGGGGCCCTCCCAGTGGCTCCAAAGCCAGCTCCATAGACACAGGTACTCCCAAAAGTGAGCAGCCAGAATCTGTGTCCACAAGTGATGAGGGCTACTATGACTCCTTCTCACCAGGCCTTGAGGAAGACAAGAAGGAGGCCCCAAGCCCCAGCACACCTGCAGCTACCTTTCCCAGGGACAGCTACAGTGGGGATGCCCTCTATGAGCTGTTTTATGACTCCACCGAGGGCCCTGCAGGCCAAAGCCTGGATGATGACCTCTGTGTGTCTGAGAGTCTGTCAGGGCCAGCCCTGGGGACACCGCTGTCCATGTGCAGCTTCCATGTGGGGGCTGAGGAGAACCTGGCCCCAGCACCAGGCCCCGATCTGCTCAGCCAGGGCTTCCTACAGAGCTCATGGAAGGGCAAGGAATGCCTGCTGAAGCTCTGCGACACAGAACTGGCCATCACCATGGGCATTGTTAACTGGCTCCGCCGTACCCCTCCTGCCACCACCTCTTCCCCTGGGGAGCCCAAAGACCCATTTGGCCCTCAAAGGGGCCCCTGGGGACAAGAGGATACACTAGAGGGTAAGAGTGGCCAGGTCCCAGATGCACAGGCCACAGTGTGCTCAGCACCCAGCAGGAAGGAGCTGAAGGCACAGCTGGGCACCCTAGGTCTACCTGATGGAGAGAGTGAGGTTCCGGGGAGGACTGGAAAGGACCTCATGACCCCACCCAGGGGTTCCCCCTCTGAGGAAGGGATACTAGGCCACCCTGTGGGCTCACTTTCCTCTGTGGATTCTCCAGTCATTGCAGCAAGAGATATTTCTGGGAAAAGCAAGGCTCCAAGCCGACTTGTCTGGCCCAATTCACAGCAGCGGATGGGGCCATCTGGAGATCTGAGGCATTGCCAAGAGCCCTGGAGACCAGGTTACAGAGGGAGGACTCTAGAGGCACGGCCAGTTCTGGCAGGCTGTTTGACCCACGGGGCAGCCCTGCAAATCCATTCGGATGGCCAGCCTCCAAGGCAGAACATAGGCAGTGGGCTTTTCAGGCAGCCTCAGGCTTGGAACCCTGACTTTCCGCAGCAGAAACAGACTAGCAGCTCCCCTAGTGGGGTCAATGTCTGTTGCCTACCCTCCTTGCCCAGCTCACAAGACCAGAAGCATCCGGACATCATCTTCAACCTGAGCCAACTTAGGTTGGACCCCACCAAGCTGGGTGCACAGGCCTATACCCCCATGGAAAACCTGAACCCACAGCTCAGGCCCAAGGCTGCAGAGCAGGCAACACACAGGGCTTGTCTGGACTGTGGGCCTCCCTCAGTCCCTGGTGCCCAGCAGAGCCCCTGAGACTACTCCCCAGAAATCATGAGCCTCACTCTGGATGGCCAGGGGTAGAGGGCTCCTCTACAAGTGTCCCAAAATGATGCTGCAGATTCCTGGCCTGGCTAGCTGGAAGTGGAGCCCCCCCACAAGGCCAGTCATGGCCAAGCCTCACTGAGAGGACAGGCTCAACTCTTACCATAAACTGCATCTCTATGGCCATATTCAGCAGATTCTAGGACCCAAATCTCGCTGTTTTTCTCTTGATAAAAGGACTGTGTTGGGGGAAATGGGGGCAGGACTCAGGCTAGCAGGAGGTGGGATATTTCCACGTGGAGGCACCCTAAGTGGAACCTGAGGCCAAAGACAAGCTCAGAGCTGCAAACACCTCACTGTTCCTCACCCAGCATGTCAGAGAGGAGCTCACATCTGCGACTGATGGAAAGTAAATGGTCCACATTATAAATGTCAGGGTGATAGTGTCGATCTGTTGGCTTGGATTGTCTGAGAAGGGTGAAGTGCAAGGCTCAGCCATCCTATGAACTGTCTTCCAGTTCTTGGGAGCACAATGCAAAATCAGCCCCATCTCAGCAAAAGCCTCATGCCAGCCAGCATCAGGCATTACTCTGAAACCCTGTCAGGGCTGGCCAGACCCTATTGATGGGTTTTGTGGAATTCTCTGCCACAAATCATCTTGTGCAACCAATGATTATCCTCCATTTGCATTTTCTAACTGGAGCCATGGATAGAAGATCAGTCTTTAGGAAGAACCCCATTAATTCTTTCCTCTCTGCCATCCTGCCTTCAAGTGGCAAAAGTGACCCCGCCCCTCCACATTGTTAATATCTCCATCCTTCAGGAAAACTCACTTCAAATAGCCTTGTACACTCCCCAAAGCTGTAACAGATGGACAGCACCTAATGTTCAGAACTCTAAGGGGAGAAGGCAACTTGTGTCCCCAGAAAGGGCAGGTGTCCTTTCTGGCCCAGCACCAGGGCAGCAGGTGCAGGGACAGATGGCCTATTCCCTTCCTCTGTGATTAGAGTCTACCTCAGCCATAACACTGCCATGGAAGCAAAGGGCAGAATGCTACAGGCATCTGTGAAATTTGTTTTTAGGGGAAATGGAGTACATTGGGTCACTGGCGAACTGCTAGAGAAGTCACCCTTCATGAAGAGCTCTCAAAGGGAGGGAAGGGAGATGCATCCGCTCTGCCAGGGGAAGAAGGCAGGGGAGGAATTTCAGTCCAAGCTACAGCCCCACAAGCTGGCAAGGCTCAGTGCCTCTCATGGTGCTGACATTTGACTTCAGTCTGGAAATGCTTCTGTGGCCATCATTCGTGGCAGTGCTAAAGCTGGCTGTGTGCAAGATGCAGGCTGTGTACATCCTAGGTGCAAAGAGTATGGCAAGGTTCCAGACCAGTCCCTGCAGACCTGGGATACAGAGGAGTATTGACACCAGCTCTTCTGTGAGGCCACTTCTGGTTCCTTCTCCTAGGACTTCCCCAAACACAATCACAACCACATTACTGAGCCTAGCTGTGAGAAGGCAACACGTGGATCAGCCTGCCCGACCCTCACATCAGCCTAAATGCTTTTCTTATCCTCACTTTTCAGACCTAGAAACCAAGATGTAGATGGCCCATGTCCAGTGCATGTGGTTGGCGAGGTTTGGATCTTGCCTCTAGCTACAACCTCCTGCTCTTCAGCTCTGGAACTGCTCCCTGAGTCCCATAGCGAATGCTTCCCTTGGACCCTTCCTCCTCTTTTTTCTTTCAGACTGCCGATCTGAGCCCCCTAGGGTGCTCACTGCATGTCCTTTCGTGAGCAGGCTGAGTGCCTGGGGGGAGACCCCTGCCCTTAGTCACGGACCTGTGTCTTTGTACTGTACCTGACAGACCAAGTGCTCAGTGAATACTCATTGAAAGAATGGAATGTTGAAGAATGGTTCTCTGATTTCTTCTTGACTGTGAGCCTTGTGCCTGGAGTAAAACAGAATAGAGATTTGAATCCAACACTGCTTGACAACTAAATACCTCTCCCTCAGCAGGGGCCAGTGTCCTTAGCATGCCTTGTGACCCAGTGCTTCACGGTGATGGGGTAGAACCCATCCAGGCCCAAGAGCAAAAGGACAGGATCCAAGGTGACCCAGGCTGGACAGGAAGCCTGGGGTGGGTTGGGCGGGTGGAGGTACCCAGGACCCGGGGCCATGACAAGTTGTGATCTACAATGCCCTAGGAGCAGGGCAATGGAAACACAGAACCAGGGTCATGCCAATGGGAAAAGAATTGTGGGCCAGGTGGCTCTGCACTTTAACACTTTAAACAAACCCCAAACCCAGACATTTCCACTCTCTGGGTAGGGGTCCCAGGCCCCTCTCTAGGAGAATGGAGGAGGGTGGTATGACCTTTCTTGGATGATTTCTCTCTCCACAGCCTGCTACTCAGGCTCCCCTCCCCAGTAAGAGGGCCCAGGCAATGCCAGCCTAGCCAGGCTTTGGAGGCCTCAGGATGGTGCACTGTGAAGAAAGAAAGGACTTCTGGTCCAGCTGAGATTCTTAATCTAGCTCTAGGAATGGAAGAGGCCTTGCCAGGCATTTTAGAAGTGCTAGTTACTTTAACCATCTTGGAAACAGGCTTCTCCTTGCAAAATGAAACCCTGGGAAGTAAGTCCAGCTGTGGCATGGAGCCCGAGGCTGCACGGTGGTGAGGGTGGCCAAAGCAGCCAGGGCTTCACAGAAGAGCTGGGAAGCTGGATCTACTAGGGAGTCCAGGTGAGCCAGTGAGTGAGGGGCAGGGTTACCCTGGAACTAGGCTGCGGGGGCTTGGGGTGGGGCTGGCAAAAAGGTGGAGACCTTGAAAGGGAGAAGGGACTTGGGCCAGGACGGCTGAGAAGAGCCTGCAGACTATGTCACAAAAGGCTTCTCATCTTTCCTGGTTTCCTATTTCCTCTTATTTTCTGTAATGGCAAAAAAATTCATGGGCTAAAAACTAAAAAGCCACAGGAAAAAAAATGGTGAAAATCAAATTTCCATTCTTCCTCCTTCACCCCTCTGTTGTTACAAAATTTATTCACACTGACTACAATCAATCCAAACAACACGAAGTGGAGCATCTCCTCCTCACACTCAGGTGTGAATTCTCACATCCTTTCTAGGTCCCTTCAGTCCTTTTTCCTACCCAGTTCCCCCCACCTCATCGTAGCACCACCCCCTTCCTCTGAACAAGGGACAAAATCCAGTCTGTAGCAATTAATCTAAATAGACTCCAGTCATTGAATATTCAAGTTTTTTCCTGTTTCTACTGTCACAAACAGTGCTGCACTCCTTTGTTCCCTAAATGTTTTCTATTAAAGTTTTCTTAGAAAGTGTGAAAACAAAACTTACCTTAACAATTAAAAAATGTGTTTCTCATGACCAATGTTTTCTGCTTCCATATGACCCACTCCACCACCCATCCTTCTTTGATTCTGAAGGCGGGGCCTTCTGGCACAATGGGAATAGAAACAAGACCATGATAAGGACTGTGAGCAAGCACACAGGCAAAGCTTTGTTGGAAGGGTTTTGCTTCCAGGAGAGGAGGCCAATAGATAAAGAAAGTCAGGCTGGCCAGCCTCTTGACAAAGAAGAAGCGAGCTGTCTATCGTGGGTTACTGTGGTGGACTAATGTCCTGGAACTGTCACTGGCCCTGGGCAGCTTCAAAGGTATTTTCTTTTCCTGTGCAAATATCTCAGCCTTGAGAAATGGATGGCCAGCTTATCACAGGACCAAGTGCATTTGTTCCATCAATGACATCATCTTGCACAAACATGATGGCCCTGTGATAAAGACGGGCCACTACAATTGCTCAGGGAACACACAGGTAGTGGCAGTGATGGTGCTGGTGGTGACGGTGATGATATGGGGTGGAAGAACAAAGCATGCTTTTAGCAAGTAACAGGATAAGACCCCAGCATTCATTTGTCCCCTGTCTCTCTGCAGTGACCCCCATCTAGTTCATTCTCAAACATGCTATAGCAAAGGCATCTTAGCTTTAATGATACACCTGGTTTTGAGATTGATGTTTCAAAGAATGAGGCATGGAAAAGAACACACATCGCACTTTCGATAGGTCGCAAGCCCTGAATTAATGCCCAAGAGGGCACCTGCTCTTTGTCCTCCTGATGTTCCCTATCTGTCTCATGTCGAAACCTGGACTCCATGCTCACAAAAATATATCACACATCTTGTGATTGAGAGGGAAGTGGTTGCTTTTTGTTACTACGTGTGAAGACTTTAGAATTCATCATCCCATTCTTTAAGAAAATCACTTTCTTTGCTGGACCCATCAGAGAATGGGAGTCCTGGGTACATGGTCTCCCATAAACCTAGAGAATCAGAGACATCTAGACAAATGCAAGAACCGAGGTCTGTGGCTGGTGAAAATGTCTAAAGATGCCAAGAGTTGGTGGGGATACACAAATAAAAAATCCTAACAAGCTGTTGCCTTCTGTGGAGGGGGAGGTTGGGAAGCCTCAGGAGCTTTGCAGGTTGGGGATCACAGAAAGATCTCCCTACTCTACAATGAGAAGGCACTGTGAAACCCCTAACCTTTGTCCTTAATAGAGGCCTCTCATCCAGGGAAGGGCTTCCCAGGGTCTGTGTTGAAATCTTTTTCAAGCTGAAAAAAAAGGACCTCACCCCGCCACCAGTCTTCCTAACCTTCCTGTCTTACCTAAGGAAAAATAATTAGATAAAGAGATAGTCTAAAAAAGAAAGAGCAAAGTGAAAAGATACTGGACACACTGATCCAGGAGGGACTAGGGTCAGATGTTAGCCTCCATCCAGGCATAGCTCTTACAGACTAATGCCCATTTGGAAGACTGGGGAGCATCCGTCCCCTCCCCACCTTGGCCATAACTGCTATCACCACAGCAACAAGGTCCAGTAATGAGAACAGTGTATTCTATCTAAAAATTCTACGATAGAAGCTCTGAGCACCTGAACACAGAAAGTCAAGAAAGAAGGCAGGAAAGAGTAAGTGCATTTGAGGTATTAGGGGCCTGGTGCCAGGAGCTACTACGACAAATATTAATACAGCATCCTTACCCATTAACAGGGAGAAGGTCCTGCTCAGTGGCTGAGTGCTTTCCTGCCATGTGCCAAACCCTGCCGTCCGTCCCTAAAACCACCAAAGTCCATTGACTACAGTACCTATAGCCCTATTTTGTCTGTCTTTAGACAAAAATTTCCAAAGTGCTCTTTCAAAGGATGAAATTATGATAGTTGCGTTTGTCAGTCTTAATTGTTTCCATTTTCTGTTTCAGAATCGGGTAACGCCATTCCGTAAAATAGAGTAAGTGTCCCAGTGATGTGAACGGAAGATGAGCGTTTCGTAGCCAGAGAAAGCCTGAGAAACCAACAGCAACATAAAGGAGATCAATCAGTTCGAAGGTACTTTCCCTGAAAGGCAGGCACAAGAAACAATAATTCACTGATTAACAGCAGGTAATTTCAGGTTACTCTTTTGTGATGGGATCGAAGCAGAGAGAACATCGTTATTAAGACCATTGGAACTAGCCTGTTTAGAAAATGTGGCGTTTTCTTTTTCTCCTGATTTCCCCAAAGGTCAGCTAATAGATTCATTTCTATATAGTGACATGGAGCATTAGCCTCCGTTTGGATTCATAGTCTGGTTGGTTGGTGTTAGGGAACTGATCATGTTAAAGTACGCTGTGACGCCGCCTCACAGGCTGCACTCTCCTGGTACATCTTGGCTCCTAAAATGACCTCGTGCCCTTATCTCTGGTTTCCCTCCCCCCGCAAGGCCACAGTGGACCAGGAAATTTGAAACCTGTGTCTGCAGGACTGGGCCCATAAAAGCAATCTGGCCTGTGATAGGTTAAAAGTAGCTCACTCCTCATAAATAAGCAATAGCCCACCCCAAAACTGATAAAAGGACCTTCCTTTCTTTGTTCTTCTCTCTCCTTCTGCTTCTTCCTCCTATCTCTCCTCTCTCTCTCTCTCTCTCTCTCTCTCTCTCTCTCCCTCTGCCTTCCTGCCTCCTGCTCGCCTCCCTACAATAAAGATCTCCTGCCAGACCTCTCGGTGCGTGAGTGGCATAATTGGGAAGGGGCACCCGAGAGGGCACGAGAACCTCCTTTCAGTTGGACCTTAATCAAAATAATAATCTCCTTTAATATTTACTTAATACTGCTAAAGCAAAAACAAACAAAGTCTGAAGAGACAGTAATCATCAGAGCTAGACTCATTTGCAGTTATCAGACAAGGACTATAAAACAGCTATGATTAATACTGGGAAAGGTAGATAGCATTCAAGAACATATGAATAATATAAATTGATAAGATTCTAATAAAAAATGAAAAGAAAATGTTAGAAGTAAAAAACACTGTCTCAGAAACAAAAATTTAACAGGCTCATTAATAAACTCAAATATGTGCATAAACAGCCAGTGAGCTGTTTTAGGAAATCATTTGAGACAAATGAAAGTAAAAACACAGCATGCCAAAACTTAGGAGCTGCAGAAAAAGTAATGCTAAGCAAGAAATTGCAGCTGTAATGCATCCATTGAAAAAGAAAATGGGAAATCAATAACCCAACTTTACATTAAGAAACCAGAAAAAGAAGAGAAAGCTCACCCAAAGTCAGTTGAAGGAAATAAATAATAAAAATTAGAGTGAAGGGAAATAAAACTTAGAACAGAAAAAGTGACAATATTAAAAGTTGATATTTTCAAAAAGATTAACTAAATTGACAAGTCTTTAGATTGAGGATGAAGACAGAAGATTCAAATTACTAAAATTACAAATGAAACTGGTGCCGTCAATACCAATTTTATGAAATAAAAAAGATTAAGAGTTCTCAGAACATTTGTATGCTAATAAATTGGATAATCTACATGAATGGACAAGTTCTAGAATACATATCTTCCAATACTAGCCATGATAAAATAGCAAATCTGAGTAGACCAGTTCTGAACCTAGTTGGGAAATTGCATCAGTAATTCAGTCTCCCAACCAAGAAAAGTCCAGGACAACACAGCTACACTGGTGAATTCCATCAAACATTTATGAAGATTCAAGAGCAATCCTCATATTTTCCAGAAAAAAAAGAAGAGACAGAAAGACTTCCTAATTTATTCCCTGAGGCCAGCTGTACCTAACATCAAAGCCAGATAAAGACAACACAAGAAAGGGCCGGGGATGTAGCTCAGCGGTGCAAGGCCCTGGGTTCGATTTCCGGTACCAAAAAAGAAAAGTGAAAAAAAAAAAAAAAGACAACACAAGAAAAACACCTGCCAGTATCCCACCAACACAGATGCAAAAATCCCCATCAAAATACTGGCAAACTGAATTCAGCCTCATATTAAAAGGATTGCACAGCAAGACCAAGTGGGTTTCCATCCTAAAGTGCAAATATAGTTCAACGTTCGAAAACAAAACTGTGATACAGCATGTTAAAAGGACAAAGGAGAAAACCACATGGTTATTTCAATTAATGCAGGAACATTTGACAAAATCCAACACCTTGATAAAAACACTGATAAAAATGATAAAGGAAATAGCAACCAGCTGAGACCCCTGTGGTTATTTATTTGTAACACAAAGACATAGAAGAAAAGTGTTTTTTTGTAGCATATTGCATAGGAGTTTTTGTCAGGGAACAGGGCAGGAATGGGATGGTTTGCTATATGACACATGTTGACATAATTTAAAGTCTTATCGGGACAGAGGGAACACATTAGCCAAAGCAAACACCCCTGACAGTAACTTGCTCTTCGTTTTGCTGACTGTTGTCCTGCAGAGACTGCTGTAATCTCTGCCTTGAGTTCCAGGATCCCAGGAACTATTGTTCCCCCAAATGTGTGATCATGAACCACAGATGTAGGGAGCTCAGAGAATATCAAAGAGGATAATTGCTAAGCATGATCACACATCACTGCATATATCACATTCAAGCTGCAAAATCCAAAGACAGAAACATTTAAAAAACAAAAACAGGATTTATGGAGGGTGGATATCCTACCTTCAAGAAAAAGAAGTATGGCAAACTTCGCATCAAAAACCATGAAAAATTGTTGAATTTTTTTTTTAGATAGGAAAAAAGTAAGAAATTAAAACTCTTGGAACTACATAAAGAAAGGTAGAACCAGGCAAGTTGGCACCTGCATATAATCTCAGCAATCTGTTAGGCTGAGGCTGAGCGATCTCATGTTTAAATCCAGCCTGGGCAGTAGTGATTTAATGAGACTCTGTATCAAAATAAAAAGTAAAACTAGGGCTACAGATGTAGCTTAGTGTGCAGACCCTGGATTCAATTCCCAGGAGTAGGGGAGAAAAGGCATCTGAAAAAAACAAATTAATGTAACACAAATTACTTTATTGCTACTTTTCATAATTTATCTAAAAGATTACCATTTATTTAAAACAACAGTAGAACAATGTCATGGGGTTGTAGCCTACGGTTCAGTGATGGGAATAACAATGCCATGGGTAACAGTAAGGAAGAATTGAGAAAGCCCTTTCTAGGCAGCCTCAATGCACATGTAAAGGGATCTGAAGGTAAACTTTGGTGAGTTAAGAATGTAGACTGTAAACCCTCATGGAGATGTAAGCAGATCCCTCTAGCGCTCAGGTTCGTATATGGGGGCAACGAAGATTGAAGCCAACAAAACAGCATGCAGCAAGCACTGGGGAATGCCAGAGTGTATGCTTATAGAAAGTATGAAAGAGAAAGCTCCCTGCCGGCCAGGGAGGGGTTTCCTAAGGCAGGCACCACAGATGTTTGAGTCCATTGGCTTTTTATACAATTTTGGGTACAAATGAATGTGAGAGAACACAGCAATGCTCCTGGTTGAGGTGGCCTTTGATGTCCTGAAAGCAAGCTGCTCCTTTTGGATTTTACTTCTCCCATATGCTTAAGGATTTGTTCCTCGTCCCTTGTGTTCATTCAGCCCAGATAGTCGATTTGTTCAGAATCAGGCCCTTTGGTAATTAGCTCATAAAACTCCCTACTTTTAGTACTTCAGGTTGATTACTTAGGACCTGTGCCCTGTCTTTCTCCACCTTCTGGTTCCATAACTGCTAATTATTTAAGGAGTAGAAATGATATGCTAAGATTGAAACAAAATCACATAACGAACCATGTAAGATACTTAAAATCAGAGAAGGAAGAACAAAAGGTGGAAAAGATACAAGGAACAAATATAATGAACAAATGCACTTAATAAAATAGTAAATTTTATTTCAACTATGTAACAATTACTTTTAAAAATGTGAACACCAGATAAATGAAAGTGAATATGAAACTGGATTTTAAAAAAGTAAAGACCCGTGTCCCCTCTACCTATAAGAAATCCACTTAAGGACAGAGATTTAACATGGCTGAATAGAGGAGGAGCCACACTGGAGCTACTCAGAGAAAATCAACTAAAAACACAGGTAACTGGAAGAAAGGGAGGGACATACATCATGATGCCAAAATCAATCTGAAATAAGAGACTTGTAGATCGAACAAAAGACAGATATAGTGATATAGGGGAAGAGATGTAACTCCCCAACCTACTATATATCTGAAATGTGAGTTCTGGTTCTCTAAAATCAAATAATGAATTCTAGGAACAATGGAAGTTAAGAGTAGGAAAATTTTATTGTAAGAAAGAGAGCTTCTGTCTAACAGAGATAGAAGGGGAACTGGAAAATGGGTTGCCCACCCACCTGGCTTTTCAGAGGTGTTTTATAGGGCAAAGCCATGAGGTGAGGCAGGTTCATGGTGGGACAAAACTGTAAGACCCAATGGAAAATTACAAGGTGGGCATGAGGTGGAGCAAACCATGACCAACCAGTAAGACTGCAAGTACGTGGGCTGGGAATGTAGTTCAATAGCCAAGTCCTGAGTTGGATCCCCGGTACCAAAAAAGAAGAAGGAGGAGGAGGAGATTGCAAGTACAGTCACCCAGGTAATATTAACTAAATGGGCAAACAAGTCTCGTACAAAGAATTTCTGGAAAGGAAATGAGCTAGGGAGATTTATATCTACTTAGAATATCAATCTCTGCTATTAATCTCTAGGGGAAGTAGTACTTCTTTTCTTTTTATAATGCTAACCAGTGAATGCACCTCAATTGTTTTCTGTGCTGAGGAGCAAGCTTTGTCTAACTGCCTTATAATAATTTCTTATTTTTGCTTTTTTTTCTTTTGTTTTGTTTTGTTTT